TCTGATGAGAATTCAGTTCTACAGTGGAGCTTAGTTCATAAAACTGGAAGCTATTATGGCTCGCACTTTTGCTTTAGATATGCAATTTGCCTATTCTATCATGTTGATTCTATATTGATTTTCAAGAATAAACAAATTTGTTGGGTTATCTCATCTTCCAATTTTGGTATATTAATTGCTTTCAAAAAAAGAACTCAAATACAACTATAAACCAACTCAAAAACAATCATTACTTCACGAGGAAAACATAGAATGAAAATTGCCACTTAATGCAGAACATGCAGAACCTATTACTGCTCAAAATATGCAAATTGATTATGATGTAATAATCATAAGATCCTCAAGAATATGAGGACCAGCAATTTTTAGCAATTTATCTTGTATATCTTCAAGAGTTCGATACATGTGTTGAACTTGACATTGATCCTAGCTCGTTTTCACAAGTCATTGAAGGAAAAAATTCAAGGTTTTGATATGATACCATGAAGGAGGATACAGAATCTATGGTTAAACAAGTTTGGGTTCTCGTTGAATTACCCAATAGACATATAGCCATTAGTTGTAAACGAGTTTATAAGACCTAAAGAAATGCACTTGACACTAGGCCAGACTTATAGCTAAAGTTTTCACTCAAAATGAAGGCGTTACAAATGTTAGGGCCATCCAGATACACTCACTATATACGCTACACTCAAGTGGATCATATGCTCATCCCCAAATAATATATTATATATCAAATGAGTCCAGATACACTCACTATATACCTTACACTCAAGTGGATCATATGCTCATCCCCAAATAATATATTATATATCAAATGATATTTATTGTGTGCCTAAAGCCACTTGCAAGTATGTGTTCTCGGCTCGAATAGAATTTACGAAGCTAAATTGTGAATATTTGAAGTTTATAAACTTTTTGAATAGTAACTACCAACTGCAACATAAATATAGATCGAATGTATAACATTTATGATATATTTAGTATGTTGAATTCTATATTACTAGACAAATAAGTGACCAATTTAGATAGTTCACTATGTGTATTTGTTCTTTAATTCCGTCAAATATAACAAAAGAACATATTTTGGGGCTTCGTTTAAAACTAACTAATTTATTAAGAAAATAGTCATAGAATTAAAGTTAAGTCTAGTACTCAATATGCAATGGAAGACCTCATAACATGTTTGTTAGGGGATAAAAGAAGACATCGACTAGGACACACACATCATCTGTTAATAAAGGCAGCATAACCATTGGAGAAGACAACATCATAACAAAAACTAGACTGTGTGTATTTCAAGGCTTTGGATGATTGCTTAGTTAATGTGAAAACTAACCCACCATTTAAGTCGAGTCAATCGAGCATCGAGGCATTGTGTGTGGCAATTGCAACTTATGAGTTCTTTCATTAGTTACGTGAGGTCAAAATAGTAACAATATCTGTCTATTTGAGATTTGATAGCGCGGATTTATTGAACATCGCTAACAATTAAAGGATGATTTAGACGATTGTGTAAGGAACAAATCTCTTGAGACAAATTTCCAACGAGGGGTGCTTTATTTATGAAGATTACAATGAAAAATGAAACAGAACGCCTCAAAGGGGCACAAGCACACAAAGTAATTTGAAAGTCTGCCAATGGTCGCTGTGGTGGTTTTTTGCTGTGGTTGTGGCCTGGTCACTGCCATTTTCTTCTTCTCAGGCGAGATCCCAAAAGTGCCGGCGTCGGCTACCAGAACCCATTTAGTTAAATCCTTTGAAATTGCATGGTTAATCACTTCCAAGCAACCGACCTGAGCAATATTCTCCACAACTTTCAATTCCGCCCTATTTTCAATCGATTCAAGTGATTGTATATCAAGTTTCAGAGGATTTTGAATGGCTTTAGTAAAATAAGTTTTGGAACTTTTAAGTGAATTTTCGAGGAATTTTGTTCGAACTTCATCATTAGTGAGAGATGATCGGCGACCAGGTGCCATCGCAGACGACGGGGGTGCTCGAAAATCGATTACCCGATTCTCCAGTAAGGATTCCGACGTAGTAGTCATTTTCTCCTCTAATCAAAACTTTTTTCTCTTGCTGTAATTATAAAGGGAAAAAAGGGAGAGACAGTAATGATGAAATCAACAATATGGGTGCAATAAGGAATATTTTGTAAAGAAGCCAAGAGAAATTAATAGACATCCTGGAAAACCTCTCTATTTAATATACATATTATTTCATACAAATTTGGAATCTTCTCAAAGAAAAGTTTCATTACTGTTTGTAGTTACTTTGTTCTATTCGCATTTGTGGAGTGAAAGTCATTGATTTGAGGTTTTGATGGTTTTGTTTGGACTTGAACCACAGCAATGATCAAATGAAGAGAGAGCAATTGTGGCATGTACAGAGAATAGTGAAGTTTCAGATGTTGAGATTGAATTGTTCTCTGGACCTCCAGAAACCAGAAATAAGCGTAATTCTCTACAAAAATGATAAGATAATTCTGATGTCAAAAATAATTTTTTTTCAAATCGTTAGAAACGATTGGTTGTTTGATGAGATGGGTTATCGAACAAGAAATGGTATTAGAAGAAAAAAATGAAATTAATAT